CTGTGTCTTTGATTGCCCTTTTGCGGGCAGAAATTCAAGGGGTGCTGTTCCTCTTTGCAGACAATGGGTTAGCACATGTCAAACGACTAATTTAAACTCAGCTAATCATATGCAGGGAGGAGACTCTTGAGAGTCACATGGACTGCAAGAAGATCAAACCTCTCCATTCTTAAGGAAATCAGGCCTGAATGCTCACTGGAAGGACGAGTCCTGAAGCTGAGGCTCCAAGACTTTGGCCACCTCACGAGAAGAGAAGACTCCCTAGAAAAGACCCTGATGCTGGGAAAGATGGAGGGCACAAGGAGAAGGGGGCGACAGAGGACGGGATGGTTGGACAGTGTTCTCAAAGCTATGAACATGAGTTTGACCAAACTGCGGGAAGCAGTGGAAGACAGGAGTGCCTGGCATGCTCGGGTCCAGGGGGTCACGAAGAGTCGGACACGACTAAACGACTAAACAACAACAACAACAACAATCATATGCAGATCAACGGGTTAAATCTGCATAGAATGAAAACAGATCGGAAGCTCCCTAATATACCGAATCGAAACACCCGCTCCTCTAGATCAGCACAGTCTAAACGGACAGGCAGGAATCCTAGCATATCACTTAACAGTGTAACATTACAAAATAAGAATACAGGTCTCTGCCCCTAAGAGCTTCCAGTCTAAATGGTGGCAATGGGAAGATGACAGAGAGGAAGGAAGGCAATCCGATTATCAAAGTATTATGTCCTTGGAAGATGCAACTATTAATGGCTGTTTGCCTTTAAATCTCAGTGGACCCTCCACATTACAGGGAAGTATACCTCTGAATATTACACTAAATGTAATGGTCCATTTAGCTTAGTATTGGTCACACCGAGCGGATTTTAGATAGGCCTGTGTCCCAGTCCTACCTGGAACAGTGAGGCTGTGGCTCCAGAAGGGCAATCTTGAGGGATCTCTGTTCCACCTTGCCGGTGGTCTCTGGGCCCTGGAACCCAGCCTGACCTTGCCACGGTGTCCCTGGTTTCTTTGCTGAATGGTCGCCCGGCCAGCACTTCCTTGCTCCTCTCGAAGGGGTGACCCCAGCGTGACCCAACCCTTCTCCATGGGCATCGGGGGCGTGGGGTTCGCCCACCAAGGGCTGTGTCGGCCGGCCGGGCTCCCTCCTGCGCTGGCGGGTGGGCAGGCAGCACGGCATGGCCCCGCTTGGCTCCAGGGGCAAAGGCTGGGCTGACGTGGCGGGCTCTGTGCCCTATGCCTGCCTAGCGTGTGCCCTGGGCACCAGCAACCCATGCTATGCTGCTGAGCTCCAGTAGAGACATATACAGCGTCCTTCCCCACTCCCCAAGAAATCTCACCATATTGCAACTGCCCCACAGGCATGTCTAAATCCGCTTTTGTTGTTGTTGTTCTTCTTATTTTTTGCTAATGGCATTCGTACAGTTGATTGAGAAGACTGAGATTATCCTACATGCAGTAATAATCATCTGCGGAGGAGTTTGCTTGATTAGCGCGGATGCACAGTGGAACGAACGGGGTGGGTTGAAATAAAAGTTGGAGAGTGAGTTATGTATAATCCTGGCACCCAGTTTATGGAGTCTGCACCCGCAGCCGCTCTGCTTAGCTCCTGTTATCGTCGGCTGGAGCACTACTTGGGACATCTCTTCTTTCCACTTTCCTCTTTTTTTTCATTGCTCCATTGTTTGGGGGTTGGGGCTCGTTCCTGCTGCACACAATGACTCTATTCATACAAACCGTTGGCTCGGTGAAATAAATAAATAAATGAAATTAAAAAGTGAATGATTAACCTCGAATGGAGGCAAAGAGCCCTGGGAACCTGCGGGCAGAAATGGGATCCAGAGCCTGAGGGATCCTGGGAGCTGGGCATGTTTAGCCTGGAGAAGAGGAGGTTAAGGGGTGATATGATAGCCATGTTCAAATATATAAAAGGATGTCACATAGAGGAGGGAGAAAGGCTGTTTTCTGCTGCTCCAGAGAAGCGGACACGGAGCAATGGATCCAAACTACAAGAAAGAAGATTCCACCTAAACATTAGGAAGAACTTCCTGACAGTAAGAGCTGTTCGACAGTGGAATTTGCTGCCAAGGAGTGTGGTGGAGTCTCCTTCTTTGGAGGTCTTTAAGCAGAGGCTTGACAACCATATGTCAGGAGTGCTCTGATGGTGTTTCCTGCTTGGCAGGGGGTTGGACTCGATGGCCCTTGTGGTCTCTTCCAACTCTATGATTCTATGATTCTATTCTATGATTCTATGATTCTAGGATCCAGCGCATGACTTTGGTGGTGGGGAAATTAAGGGAAGAATAGGTAATGAAACTTTCACTAAGCGGCTCAACTCTGGGCAAGCCAACCTGCTCTTTGAATTGCAGCAGCGGAGTTTCGAGTAACCTTGCTGTTGCCCTCCAGAGTTCCTCTGCCATGCTTGTGCACGGTTGCTATAGAGACGTGTCACACAGAAATCCAAGAGACACTGCTGCCATCCCCTGGGCAAGGCACAGATTGTCCCATTTTTGGACCACGACAGTACAGACCCCCTCCAGACAAGCTGTTTATTCAGGGTTCCTCCCGAGTTGATTGCACAAGGCTTATGAGGGGGTTAGACAGTGCCCGGCCTTTACAAAGCATTTGTTCTGCTTTGTTTACAGGGCAGTCATACAGCAATGAGCGTCCGTCCTGATTTTTTTGCGCAAAGCTATTTCGGTGGTTAAGGGACATGGTTGGTGCTGTGGGTTAAACCAGAGAGCCTAGGACTTGCCGATCAGAAGGTCGGCGGTTCGAATCCCCGCGACGGGGTGAGCTCTCGTTGCTCGGTCCCTGCTCCTGCCAATCTAGCAGTTCAAAAGCACGTAAAAGCGCAAGTAGATAAATAGGTACCGCTCCGGTGGGAAGCTAAACGGCATTTCCGTGTGCTGCTCTGGTTCACCAGAAGCGGCTTAGTCATGCTGGCCACATGACCCGGAAGCTGTACGCCGGCTCCCTCGGCCAATAAAGCGAGATGAGCGCCGCAACCCCAGAGTCAGCCATGACTGGACTTAATGGTCAGGGGTCCCTTTACCTTTACCTTTTTATTTCGGTGGTTAGACTGCAGGCCGCTCCTGATATATTTTTTCTACAAAAATATTATTATATTTTTACTCCGCCTTCTCCTCCCAGGAACTCAAGGTGGCACCGTTCTCCCCCTTCCCCATTTTATCCTCACGACAAGCCTGCGAGGTCGGTTAGGCTGAGAAAACATGACTCTTAACTTGCTGACTTGCACCAAAAGGACTCAAATTTGTCTATGGTACAAGGAGTTGGCGCACACCCCATCCCACCAAATATTATGGCACATTCTCCAGCTGCAGTTTTCAGTAGTTTTAAAAAGAGCTGGGAATTGAGGGCTGAATAACAGGACATGTATATAAACTTAAGCATTGCCAAGCGCTGTTTCTTAATGAAGGAAAGGCAGATTCGGGAGACGGGGCAGAGAATCAGAAATAAATTTCCCGGCTGCAGCTTCTCTGCCCAAATGGGTGTCTCCCAATGCAGTTCAAATGAAAGCTAAACGCAGATTTTTGGACCATGGTGGTGCTGGGGTGGGAGTGGGGGAGGCAAACCAGAGAATCTGTAGACATAGAATGGGTTAAGTTACTCCCCCTGCTTCTTCACTCCAAATTCCTTCTCACCTCCCGAAACTGCCTTTTTAATGGCATCAGGGCTGTATGTCTGATGTATGCTGATGAGATGAATAGCTAGCTGCTTTCACTTCCAGCAGATTTTCCTTGCTCTAAGGCTGCCTTGGGGTGCCTCTCCTCCCCACCCGATGTTGCAAACATCATGCTAACCTGATGTGGACCATGAAACAAGGTGACTTTGCAACATGGGGAGAAAGGAAGACTTGGCTGCTGCCCACTTCTGAAATCTTAGGAGATGACGCAGACATCATCTTGGAAAAAAGGAGATGACTCCTACACTCCTAAGCCGTGCAAATGTATTTTCAGGGCCACTAGCTCTTTAGCAAACAATTCCTCCCCTGTTGTTGCCTCTCCTTTCGATCCTCCTCATCACTGCATAAGAAGTGGTACCCAATGTTATGTACTGCAGTTCTCACCCTGGGCCAGCAGGGGGATACTGTAGTTTTCACTCAGGTCCACATATGCAAATAAGGAATTGAAAGTGACGTTCAGTGATTGGATAGTTACAGAAAGTTGTTACTGTTGCTTTGTAGTGGAGCTCTATATAAGCAGGTTGGCTGTGTGGGATGTAAACACAGGAGCAGTCAATGACAACATTCCTAGAGTGTACATGCTAGAACATGGGGAGGGATGTCTGTCCAGCAAGCAGGTAAACTTCCTGGGGACGGAGTTCCTCTGCATGTGACCAGAAGTGGGGGTGGCATCACCGGTGCAGGTAATGACAAAAGCACAGGGCAGGCAGCCACTCTCTCTCTGTGCCATCTTCCTTCGATGAGGAAACATCTAAGGATGCTCTCTTGGCTCCCAGCCAAGAGAGGAGATAAGGACTATCTTGCTACAAGATAGATTCTGAATGTATGTAACCTTTTTAAGCCTGTCTGCCTTCTGGGATCATATTGTGAACAGAACATGAGTAAACTCTTTTATACTTTTATAAAGACTGTGTCGTGTCTTGTATTTTAAGAGGGAACAAAAGGGTAATTATTATAGAGGTTCTAGCGAACCTGTGCAAGCGTTACCGTTGCGCACTTAAAGGGGAATGTTTATAAACTCTGCTGATATTTTGGGAACTTGTTAGCACAAGTTGGATAAAGATATAATTAGTCAATATATCCTCTCCTGCACCCCAGAACATTCCCACAGGCTGAACCCTTCGGCTCAGTTCTGTTCTGGCCTGCGAATAAACAAGAGCTGTCTGAAGAATTGCTGTGTCGTCTGATATGTTCACCCACAACTTAACACCCAAACTTCTGCTGGTTCCTGGAGGCAGGATACATAAACCTGGAACTGGTGGTTTTGGAACAGAACACCAAACAAGACGTTGTTTCTTGCCTAGGTTTATTTGCCAACCTTTATTGAAAAGCAGTGTGATTTGGTTGGTGGTCACAATGATGGGCAGATTTGGATGCAATCTTCTCACCTTCATAAACAGCAGCTAGGAACAAGAGCTGGGCATCTATTGCTCCTCCCCTCCTGCTCTGGCAGGTTTTCTTTAAACCAGAATTCCCCACTACACACAACTCTATTTGACAATCATCGCTTAATATCCTAGCTGGGACACTAACAGCAAAGCAGAGTTCCCCTTTTGGAACTTAAACAAACCAGGACTTTCCACATGAGGGTAGGGGTGAATTCATAGTTTTCACCTTCGTTTCAGGCTTCACAAACCATGGTTTCCGAACCAGGGAGTGCTGCATCCAAACCAGACCATTGGCAGGGTGTTTAGACTGTGCAGCAGGTTGTGGGCTTCTCTCTGGCGTTTTCGGCTGCGCTGATGCTATTCTTGTCTGCTGAGCTTCATTGCCAGAAAGCTTAGCGTGCTAGCTAAGCTCGCGAAGGCAAGGGACAGCAGGGTGATATAAAAACTCTCTCCTAGGAAACTGAGCAACTCGGCGTTCATCAGATCATCCCTGTAGATCCGTTCGTTAACCGTCACAAAACACCAGCAACAGATTCCAATGAGGATTACAAGGAAGATGCCTGAAGAGGGAGAGAAAAGAAAGGCCTTTAGAAAGGTCTCATTAGAGTCCAATTCTTCCTGTTTGTGTCATAGAGATGGAACAGGCAGGCAGGGCAGCTATGAGCTTATCTATTGACAGCTGTTGGTTCTGGAAAGCCATGCACAGTGCTTAAATTTCATCTATCTATCTATCTATCTATCTATCTATCTATCTATCTATCTATCTATCTATCATCTGTCTGTCTGTCTGTTATGTACTGAGTTGAATAGGATCCAAAATGCAGCAGTCTGATTGGTCCTAGAACAATAGGACCCAGATTGCAGCAGTCTGATTGGTCCACAGGAGCCACCCAATCCAGCTCCAAGTGGAAGTGAATCCGCAACCTGATTGGCCTACAGGAGAATCCCGGAATTGGCCAATCACATGGGGCCCATTATGTAAATAATGTATATAAAGCAGACATTCTGGGGGAACGCCTATTGCTCCTCACCACTATGAGCTGAATAAAGAGCATGAAATCTACTCTTGACTCCGACTATATTTCACTATCTATCCTGAGCCCTGCAGGATCAAGCCAGTGGCCCATCCTGGGTGATGCACAAGACTATTTAAAACAACACGTAAAATCTAAATGTCAGTTAAAAAGCCATTCAACCAATAAAACAGTTCAGCAACAATAAAAAGAAAACAGATTCCACCTAGAGTGTTGCACCCAAATGCCTGCATGAAAATGGGTACTGTATTTTTCGCTCTATAAGACTCACCGGACCATAAGACGCACCTAGTTTTTAGAGAAGGAAAACAAGAAAGCAACGCAAAGCCTTTTAAGCGAAAAGGGAGGAGCGCTTCCGCTGCGCTCAAAAGGCTTTGCGTTGCTATCCCTGAAGCCAGAAGAGCAAGAGGGATCGGTGCACACCGATCCCTCTTGCTGTTCTGGCTTCTGGGATAGCTGCACAGCCTGCATTCGCTCCATAAGACGCACACACATTTCCCCTTACTTTTTAGGAGGGAAAAAGTGCGTCTTATAGAGCAAAAAATACGGTATATTATTGCCTTCTGTTATGGAGGGGGATTGCCTTATCTCCAGAGGTGTGAGTTCCACAACCAGGGAACCGCCATGGAGAAGGCCCCAGCCCCCATCACTGCAAGAAGCTGCCTTATATAGAGTCAGACCATTGGTCCATGTTTTAATTATTTTTTTAAGAAGAGTTTGGATTTGATATCCCACTTTATCACTATCCTAAGGAGTCTCAAAGCAGCTAACATTCTCCTTTCCCTTCCTCCCCCACTACAAACACTCTGTGAGGTGAGTGGGGCTGAGAGATTTCAGAGAAGTGTGACTAGCCTAAGGTCACCCAGCAGCTGCATGTGGAGGAGCGGAGACGCAAATCCGTTTCACCAGATTACGAGTCTGCCGCTCTTAACCACTGCACCACACTGGCTCTCACCATTGGTCCATTTGACGCAGTGTTGTCAACACTGACTGGCAGCAGCTCTGCAGCATTTCAGGTAAGGGTTGTTCCCAGTCCTACCTAGAGATGCCAGGGAAGGAACTGGGAGCCACCGTGTGGAAGACAGACCCTTTACAGCGGAGCTACAGCCTTTCCCCAAATGTTCAGCCCAGCTTGGGATTATTGATACCCTGAGCCAGCAAAGTTATTGACATAAATGTGAGGCAGACCCGCTCCATGGCATTTAGGGTGTGAGAAAATTAATGCAGACAAATACAACAGCATTCTTAACCCCGTTGCCTGCTGGCAATCTATGCTTAGTTGAATTTGTCTGCATTAAATCCCCCACAATCCCCTTCTCACTATGGACTCAGCTATACAGCGGCAAATAAAACATTTTAAGTGTGTTCTAAGTGCAATATACAATGTGACACTAGACGGCGATGGCAAAAACTTATGGAAAACTCACTGTATTTTTAAAAACTCTTTTTAAAAAAAAGCATTTTCAGAATGATTTTTATATGTGTGTAGATTCCACCAGCATGGCATGCAAAGTTTTATTTAACTACTCTCAGTCACATTGTAACCTCACAGGGCCCAATTGGAGAGATACGGGTGGGTCGGGTATAAATTAAATTTAAAATCTACTCTGCCTTCTCTTTGTGGATAAATGTGCAAGGCACACCCAGAAAATTTATACCCATTACTTTTCTTCTCTCACTGACACCTAGATTTTGACTGTGGGCTCTTTGGGAATTTTCCGTGTCTTGTGCCTTATTCACTGGTGCATCTGCCACAACAACCATGAAAACTATCAAGACCTGCGACAACACATTGCTGTGTGGGGTGTTCCTGTCCAGGGTTCAAGCCAGCCATGCCCCCTCCCAGATTTCCCCATTGCATTCCTCCACCTCGGTTTCCATTCTCCACAAGAGTCACTTATTGTTCTGTGAGCCACAGAACACGTCGAGTCGGGACAAAGCACACAAGGGCCGCTCTCTTCTGCAGTGGCGTAGCGTGGGTTGTCAGCACCCGGGGCAAGGCAAGTAATTTGCGCCCCCTAACCCATGGATTTGCGCCCCTAACCCGTGGATTTGCGCCCCCTAACCTGTGGATTTGCCCTAACCCCAGATGTTGCGCCCGGTGCGGCCGGCCCCCCCTGCACCCCCCACGCTACGCCACTGCTCTTCTGTGAGCCAGCTATGCATGCAAACTGAAGATTTCCCTTGCTCAGTTTTTTTAATACCAATGCAATTATGGGTTGAGTTGAAACTGTCCCTTATCAGCGTTAGATGCAAAAGAACCGGCAAGTCTACGTAGAAACTGGCAAATTACCTGACAAAACGTGCAGGGAAGTAGCAACGGCTGTTTTATGCTTGCCTAGGATCTCAATTTCCATGAAATCCAGGAGAAAAGCTGCAAAGCCCAAGAACATGCCCACGAAACATATGCTGATAAACCACGGCACGAAAGCAGTGTTGGGAAAGAAATGAACATCCGCTGTCGGAATAGAAAGGAGAGGGAACTTCATATGGCAAACTGTAAAGGTAAAGGTACCCCTGACAGATAGGTCCAGTCATGGCCGACTCTGGGGTTGCACGCTCACCTCACTCTATAGGCCGAGGGAGCCGGCGTTTGTCTGCAGACAGTTTTTCTGAGTCATGTGACCAGCATGACTAAGCCGCTTCTGGCGAACCAGAGCAGCGCACGGAAACGCCGTTTACCTTCCCGCCGGAGTGGTACCTATTTATCTACTAGCACTTTGACGTGCTTTCGAACTGCTAGGTTGGCGGGAGTAGGGACCGAACAACAGGAGCTCACCCTGTCATGGGGATTTGAACCGCCAACCTTCTGATCGGCAAGCCCTAGGCTCTGTAAAGCACAACGCATCTGCTCAAAAAACGGAATCAATTTGTAGCCATTTTTTCACCCAAACTGCCAAGGCCTCCCCACAAAAATCCTGGGAAGTGTAGTTTGGTGAGCTTATTGAGGAACACAGGAAATTGCCTGATACAGAATCAGATCATTAGACTACCAAGCTGTCCAGGCTGAGAGGCAGTAGCTTTCCAAGGTTTCATTCAGGCAGGACAATAGCCTTTCCTAACTTTAAATGGAGATGCTGGGGGCTGAACCCACACCCTTCTGCATGCAAATCAGATGCTCTGCTACATGCTATGGCCACCTCTCTGTTAAACTATGGAACTCACTGCTACAGGAGGCAGTGGTGAACACCAAGGTAAAGGTAAAGGGACCCCTGACCATTAGGTCCAGTCGCAGACGACTCTGGGGCTGTGGCACTCATCTCACTTTATTGGCCGAGGGAGCCGGTGTACAGCTTCCGGGTCATGTGGCCAGCATGACTAAGCCGCTTCTGGCGAACCAGAGCAGCGCACGGAAACGCCGTTTATCTCCCCGTCGGAGTGGTACCTATTTATCTACTTGCACTTTGACATGCTTTTGAACTGCTAGGTTGGCAGGAGCAGGGACCGAGCAACGGGAGCTCACCCTGTCCCGGGGATTCGAACCGCCAACCTTCTGATCGGCAAGTCCTAGGCTCTGTGGTTTAACCCACAGCACCACCTGCGTCCTGAACACCAACCTAAAGGTAAAGGTAAAGGGACCCCTGACCATTAGGTCCAGTCGCAGACGACTCTGGGGTTGTGGCACTCATCTCACTTTATTGGCCGAGGGAGCCGGTGTACAGCTTCCGGGTCATGTGGCCAGCATGACTAAGCCGCTTCTGGCGAACCAGAGCAGCGCACGGAAACGCTGTTTATCTCCCCGCCAGAGTGGTACCTATTTATCTACTTGCACTTTGACGTGCTTTTGAACTACTAGGTTGGCAGGAGCAGGGACCGAGCAACGGGAGCTCACCCCGTCGCGGGGATTCGAACCGCCGACCTTCTGATCGGCAGGTCCTAGGCTCTGTGGTTTAACCCACAGCGCCACCCACGTCCCGAACACCAACCTAGAAGGCTTTAAAAGAGGACTGTGACAAATTCACGGACAAGAGGGCTGTCGATGGCTCCTAGCCAGGATGGCTCTTCTCTGCCTCCACAGTCAGAGACAGCGATGCTTTTGCATACTACCGGTTGCTGGAAACTACAGGAAGGGGAAGTGTTCTTGTTCTTAGGTTCTGCTTGCCAGTTTGACACAGACATCTGGTTGGCTACATCTTGTGAGAAAAGGATGTTGGATCCACCTAACCCCAAGGCTGTCTGTTCTGACTGGCAGCAGAGCTACTAACCCAGCATGTGGTATCCATGGCGCTTTTATCTAGAGATGCTCTGGTTTGTTAAACAGGAACCTGATACTTTGGAGCATATTTTCTTTTCTTGTGATTTTGGCATTTATGCCAGAAGAAAATGATTAGAGGCCTTACAACTCAATAGGCAGATTTCTATGCTACCAACGGTTCAGGGCCTGCTTTCGGATGGGAATGATCAAATTACTTTAATAGTGGCTGAATTTTTGAGTGCTGTTATTGTAGAAAGGGGACACGGGTAGCGCTGTGGGTAAAAGCCTCAGCGCCTAGGGCTTGCCGATCGAAAGGTCGGCGGTTCGAATCCCGCGGCAGGGTGCGCTCCCGTTGTTCGGTCCCAGCGCCTGCCAACCTAGCAGTTCGAAAGCACCCCCAGGTGCAAGTAGATAAATAGGGACCGCTTACTAGCGGGAAGGTAAACGGCGTTTCCGTGTGCGGCTCTGGCTTGCCAGAGCAGCGATGTCACGCTGGCCATGTGACCCAGAAGTGTCTCCGGACAGCGCTGGCCCCCGGCCTCTTGAGTGAGATGGGCGCACAACCCCAGAGTCTGTCAAGACTGGCCTGTACGGGCAGGGGTACCTTTACCTTTATTGTAGAAAGACTGAGCCATTATAAAGAAAATTAGTGGTTCTTAATTGATCGGGGATTTGGTAGTGCTGTATTGTATTTTTTTATGCAAATGGATCTTCTCTGGAGTCAAAGATATGACTGGGACAAACCTTGTTGAGTTCGTATTTTGCACAATTTGTATACGGTGTCTGTTTGATAATGTGTGGTTTGATATGCCTAATAAAGGATCTTGATTAATAATTGTTAAACCTTGCCAGTCTACCTACCAAGTCCTGAAGCAAGACTTTGGAACTCCCTCCCTAAAGAAGTCAAACTGGCCCCCTCCTTGTTGTTCATTTGCTAGCAGGTGAAGATTTCTTGGTTCAACAGGCTTTTGGGAACGGATTGCTTTTAATGAAAAGGGTGGTGCTGTGCTGTTTTAATTATACCAATGTTTAATTGATTTTCAGTTGTTTTCCCTCTGTGTTTTTAGCTGCTCTTACAGTGGAACCTCGGGTTGCGGACGTAATCCGTGATGGAGGCACGTCTGCAACCTGCAGTGTTCGTAACCTGCAGCGGCACATCTGCGCACGCGCGTGACGTGATTTAGGGCTTCTGGCAAAGTGACGAAATCCGGAAGTAACCCTTTACGGTACTTCTGGGTTTCCTGTGGCCCGCAACCTTAAAACGCGTAACCTGAAGCGTCTGTAACCCGAGGTACCACTGTATTTTTTTCTGTAAACGGCCTTCACTGTCAGTGGAAAAGACGGGGGAATAATAATAATAATAATAATAATAATAATAATAATTTTCTGAAAATGACTCAGAGAGAGTCTGTGCCTTGGCGTCTGCTCAGCAAATGGCTCAGCCTGTTTTGTGAAAGTAGCAAGTCCAGGGTCTTCAGGGAGCAGAACTTTGTATTCACTATTCACTCAGCGCCGTAACGATAATTTACGACAACCATGGACAAAAATACAAGGCTTCAGCAAAACAAACCGAGCTTTTGCAAAAGCTTTTTGAAAAGCAAGTGATTTAAACATACTTTAAGAGGGGTGGGGTGTGGGGTTCAACTCCCAATTTTAAAATAGTTTGAACAGCGAACCACAAGAGCAAATGAAAGCAACGTAAACATAACCACCTACGCCTAGCTGATAACACCAAGGTTTCAGGTTTGATCTCTATATGGGATAGAGGGGGGTTGGACTAGATTTGGGCCCCCTTGAATCCCCACCCACCCTGAAACAGCGCAGGAGCAGGGGCTGTTTGGGGGAGAAGGCCCTCTTACGAATTTCTGTGCCGTTGGGTTGCTGTGTCTCGTACACTTCCATCACGTCGGGCACCCCGAAATTGTACGTCACCCACCGCTTCGGCTGCCTGGTGTACGGATATTGAACCACGGCCACCCACTTGAGCAGGGAAACGGCCACGCAGAGGCTGGCCAGGCTCAAGCACTGCATCAGAGCAGCCAGCAGGCAGTAGATGGTGGACAGAGACAAGCCGTCAAGCTGTTCGTGGATGGAGCGGGCCCGCACGCCTCTCGACGCCAGCAGGACGCTCAGCACCTCTGCAGACTGGATCGATTCTTGCTGGGACTTGCACACGTGGGCCTCCTGCAAAGACAAAGGGTGGGGCCAGTTCCATACATGCCACAGACGCTCGGGTTGAGGTTTCTGCCTTGCAGGGGGTTGGACTAGAGGACCTCCAGGGGTCCCTTCCAACTCTGTGGTTCTCTGTGTCCTGCCCACTCTGGCTCTCAATGCACCCAGGAAGCTATTTTTCACAATTGCTGCAGGCCTCCTTCCAGTGGAAAACCTGAAGCTGTCTTTGGCCCCATGTGCATACCTCGCAGGTAAAAGGTAAAGGTACCCCTGCCCGTACGGGCCAGTCTTGACAGACGCTAGGGTTGTGCGCCCATCTCACTCAAGAGGCCGGGGGCCAGCGCTGTCCGCAGACACTTCCGAGTCACGTGGCCAGCGTGACAAGCTGCATCTGGCGAGCCAGAGCCGCACACGGAAACGCTGTTTACCTTCCCGCTAGTAAGCGGTCCCTATTTATCTACTTGCACTTTGACATGCTTTCGAACTGCTAGGTTGGCAGGCGCTGGGACCGAACAACAGGAGTGCACCCCGCCGCGGGGATTCGAACCGCCAACCTTTCGATCGGCAAGCCCTAGGCGCTGAGGCTTTTACCCACAGCGCCACCCGCGTCCCTGCATACCTCGCAAGTATCCCAGAAAAACATTTCTCTGACGCAAATAGGAATGTCCTATTCCTCCATCATCATCATCATCATCATCATCATCTTATTATTTAGACCCCGCCCATCTGACTGGGTTGGCCCAGCCACTCTGGATGGCCTCCGACATACATAAAACATAATTAAATGCTTTAAAAAAACATCCCTATACAGGACTGCCTTCAGATGTTTTCTGAAGGTTGCCTAGTTACTGATTTCCTTGGCTCAGGGGGTCGGATAACTCTAGACCCGTGGTTCCCAACGTGGGCCATATTAAGGGGGGGGGGCAATTCGAGAACGAGTTATTAACAGTTAATGGCCTTTTAGGCTTCCTCCATGTGAATAGGAGTTCACTATTTGAATAATAAGAATTATATGTCACAGGGGTGGTGGGTGGCACCAGGATTTGAGAGATGCTTAGGTGGGGCATGGCAAAAAAAAAAAAAAGGGTTGAGAACCACTGCTCTAGACCCTCCAACATAATAATAATAATAATAATAATAATAATAATAATAATAATCAATTATTTGTACCATGTGGCTTCCAACAGAGATTAAAAATAGGGACATCCTAAGGGAAGGTGGGACATTCCAGGCTCAAAAAATTTACGGCTTCTGTAAATCTGGGATTGTCTCTGGAAAATAGGGATACTTGGGAGGGATATCCCATTTTTTAATCACGAGAGAATGGCCGCCATATAGATTTGTGGCTCCTGTGTCTGCGAACCTTGGGGAAGGGCGCCATCTTGTCCTCCGCCTCAGGCAGCAAAATGTCTTGGGAAGGCCCTGCGAGAAGCCCATGCTTCCTAGGGCCTCAATCCGAGGCCTAACCTCTCATTTATGGCATGGATTCTGGCCTCATGGCTTGCTCCAGCCTTCGGAAAGGCCTTTGCTTTGCCACATACACGGACGCCTGAGGCGCAAGGCTTTTGCCTGCGCACCAACGATGCCGGCTCCTCAGGCCTGTTCCTCAGGCCCAGCCTCAACTGTTGCTCGGCAACTGTTATGCGCCCAAGGGAGGTTGCACTCTCCAGCCCCAACCGCAACCTCCCCACAGTCGCCTTGCGCCCTGCGCATGGCGGCTCACCGGGACTTCTTCGTTCTGTAGCGACATGGCTGCGTGTTTCCCTCCAGTCCCATGTGGCTGTGCGCAGACCAGCGCGCGTGGAAGCGACAGCAGGCCAGAGAACCTCTGTGGCAAAACAATGGAAGGGCAACTGTTCTGTTGCCACAACTGCCGGCGCATCGATCACATCAGCGCCAGGGATGGGGAACCGTAGGCCCGCCACATAGCCGAACTGTGGAACTTGCTCCCTCAAGAGGCAGAGATGGCCGCCAGCTTGGATAACTTTATGATCACTGCTCTATAGCAATTGTTGTTATACAATTCCATTCACCATATAGATGAGTTTATGAAGCATTTCTGTATCCTTCTGCTGTGCTGAAGAATTCCACGAAACAGTGGGTATATCCTGAGGTTGAATCCTGACAAGACAGAAGTAATGTTTTTGGGGGGACAGGGGGTGGGCGGGTGTGGGGGACTCCCTGGTCCTGAATGGGGTAACTGTGTCCCTGAAGGACCAGGTGTGCAGCCTGGGAGTCATTCTGGACTCACAGGTGTCCATGGAGGCGCAGGTTAATTCTGTGTCCAGGACAGCTGTCTACCAGCTCCATCTGGTACCCAGGCTGAGACCCTATCTGCCCACGGACTGTCTCGCCAGAGTGGTGCATGCTCTGGTTATCTCTTGCTTGGACTACTGCAATGCGCTCTATGTGGGGCTACCTTTGAAGGTGACCCAGAGACAACTAATCCAGAATGCGGCAGCTAGACTGGTGACTGGGAGCGGCCACTGAGACCATATAACACTGGTCTTGAAAGACCTACATTGGCTCCCGGTACGTTTCCGAGCACCATTCAAAGTGTTGATGCTGATCTTTAAAGCCCTAAATGGCCTCAGTCCAGTATATCTGAAGGAGCGTCTCCACCTCCATCATTCTGCCTGGACGCTGAGGTCCAGCGCCGAGGGTCTTCTGGCAGTTCCCTCACTGCGAGAAGCCAAGTTACAGGGAACCCGGCAGAGGGCCTTCTCGGTGGTGGCACCTGCCCTGTGGAACGCCCTCCCGCCAGATGTCAAACAACTACCAGACGTTTAGACGACATCTGAAGGCAGCCCTGTTTAGGGAAACTTTTAATGTTTAATAGGTTATTGTATTTTAGTGTTCTGTTGGAAGCCACCCAGAGTGGCTGGAGAAACCCAGCCAGATGGGCGGGGTATAAATATATATTATTATTATTATTATTAAGCACTTCTGTCAAAAATACCTGTTGGAGCACTTGAATCTCAGTGCCGTCCTGCTCAGAAGTTGAACTGAAGTGTTCCAAGTCGGCGTTCCTTCGGGTATACTGGACCTTTGAGGCCGTTGAGGGCTTTAAAGGTCAGCACCAACACTTTGAATTGTGCTCGGAAACGTACTGGAGCCAATGTAGGTCTTTCAGAACCGGTGTTATGTGGTTTCGGCGGCCGCTCCCAGTCACCAGTCTAGCTGCCACATTCTGGATTAGTTGTAGTTTCCGGGTCACCTTCAAAGGTAGCCCCACGTAGAGCGCATTGCAGTAATCCAAGCGGGAGATAACCAGAGCATGCACCACTCTGGCAAGACAGTCCGCAGGCAGGGAGGGTCTCATCCTGCATACCAGATGGAGCTGGTAAACAGCTATTATTAAGTATGTACATTCAGTGAGCCCCAGAAACCAGACCCGGTGAGAAAATGTGCTGTGTATTAAATAGCCAGTGGCTCTGCATCTATAATGTTAGACATCTCCGTTGAATTTTGTGTGCAACACTGCTGTTCCTAATAATCCGGCGAGATGTGCTATCTGGGTAGTTTTTCTGCCCTAAAATCGTGAGCCTACTCGAGGGGTTGACAGTGTGGTGCTGTGGGTCTAATGGTACCCTTGTGGTCCTCCTCTGGCACCCACAAAGTCCTCTGCCAACTGTGTAAAAAAGGACTTCCTTTTGTTTCTCTGGAGCCTTCCGTTCAATTTTATTGTTTGCTTGTTTTAAAATCATTTTTATTAGGTTTTACAATTCCGTCATTGTAATAACATATCAAATCACATACTGAATAGTACCCAGATTCCCCCCCCCCCCGCAACTTCTCTCAACTTCTTATTCTGGTTTTTAACACATTTCCTTCCCCTGCTTGCTATATTACCCTTTATATCAAATTCTTTATATCGATGGGGGGGGGGTTGTGTGGTCTCCGAGAAGGCTGATCGATCGCCACATGATTTATATCTGTGGAATACAGTTCATTTACATTGCAATATTGCATACAGGCTGCCCAACAATCTATAGTAACAACTCAACAACGTGGAAGACACTGCGTCACTAAATCTCAAAAGAAAGGTTTGGACAACAGCCCGGATTGGAGTGATTTAACAACTTGGGAGTTGCTGCGTCGTTAAACTTCAAATGATAAACCTGGATGGGAATGAAGTCAGGAAAAGCTGCTCTGGTAAATAGACAGTTGAAAATATATATATTTACAAATAAAGCTGTATTCGGTGGACGAAAGGACATATGATTTTTGACATGATTGAGAATCGCATAGCCAAGGACGGAGAACTTTAAAGCGTTAAGACCAGAAGGCGGAAAATATGAAAACAACGAAAAGAGGTAGGACTGAAGATTTGGAGATATCCAGGTCCAGACTATGGGGAGCTGGAAAAATTAATAATTACAATTTGGACTACAATTTGGTCTTATTTTTAATTGGTTTATGATGTGGATATGTTGATTGACTGTTTTTATTGGAAAATCAATAAAAATGTTTTTTTTTTTAAATTCTTTATATCCAATAGTATTCTCTTATCCTTTTTACATCAGTTGTAAGTGTTTACTCAACTTTATTGAATGTCCCCTAATTCCAAATGTTACACCAAAGTCCTCATCACACTGTCTGGAGATTTCCTCTGCTTTTCTGGCATTTTTCTCCCCTCCTGAAACATTTTTTTATTTTTATTTTTTGGACTTCTGCAAACCTGCAGGTTTGTTCAGTCCTACCAATACCTCTCTCTTGTGGACGGTGACACTGGTTTGACTATAGAAACAATGGCGCTCACGGTGTGAAAAGGAGCAGAGGGAATGATGACACCATTTAACAAACAAAAAAATTATTTGTCATATATGTATTTGTTTACTTTCCTTTTTTTTTACACACAATTTTGGCCTTCTGCCAAGAAATCAGGTGATTTCTTCACCCGAGTCTCCTGTTTTAATTGATACACTGTTTTCATTTGATTATTTTATTGCATGGTTTATAAAGAGACCACTTCATTATGCATTTTAATTATTCTGAATTTTTCTTAAAAAACGGCGACGACACCCGTCTTCTGCTTCTGTATGATACTGAACAAGCACAAGAAAGTACATAAAACGACAACGCATTTTAATAATGTTGTATGGTTGGCATTTGGGTTTTGTAAACTGCTTAGAAGCCATCGTGGCATATAAATTATAATATATTTTATATATTACTTTATATAATATATTAAAATATATTAAGTGGCATATAAATGAAATGACAAGGAGGAAAACAAAAACTCGATGGGGACACCCGTTTTATAACCACACTTTATTTCCTCTGTGCATGTAAAAAATTGCCTTTTCATGCCACCCCCTTAGCGATTGCTCTGGCCTCGGGTTCCAGGTTGATGAGAGAATTGCTCTGCCGAGCCAGTTCTGTAATGGAGACGCGTCCCCTCCGCCGAATGAAGTCGGCCACGGCCGTCATTTCCTCCGTTGTGATGTAGATGAACTTTCCTCTGTCATCGATTACGCCTAGAGGCAAGGCCAAACCGGAATTAAGCTCCACAGGCTGCACTTTTTACCTTCGTTTTATTGCCTAGCTAGGATTTCTTAATCAGGCTGTCTCCAAAGGTTTGGGTTCGGCTGCACGATATAAATACTTAGGCCTGTAACCTCTAATTGACAAATTGGTTCCATTAGGGGCCTAAATGTGATTTTAAGTGTCCCACTAATTAATGGGGGTGGGTGGGTTTGCTTTTACTCTTCTTGGCAGATTTGCCTCCTCTATCATCACCAGCCAAGGGCGAGGCAGGATGTGTTGCCTGGAGCATGTCGCTTGATGGAGGAGGAAAGAATTGATGGCCCCCTCTACAAAAATTCAATAAGCCTTTTTTTAAAGCATCTCCTCCACCCCAGTATAGGAATGCGGCAGGCTTCTTGGCACCCTCCCTGTGGACTGCCCTCCCATCAGATGTCAAACAACTATTTGACTTTTAGAAGACATCTGAAGGCAGCCCTGTTCAGGGAAGTTTTTAATGTTTGATGTTTTCTACTATCTCAGTTTTTGGTCAGCCAACAACGGCCAGACGCAAGTCTTCTCAGAAGTAATCCTTGACGTTTAAGTTGTGCTAATTTGGATGTATGGAAGTGAGAGCTGGACCATAAAGAAGGCTGATCGCCGAAGAATTGGTGGTGTTGGAGGAGACTCTTGAGAGTCCCATGGACTGCAAACAGATCAAACCTCTCCATTCTGAAGGAAATCAGCCCTGAGTGCTCACTGGAAGGACAGATTGTGAAGCTGAGGCTCCAATACTTGGGCCACCTCAGAAGAAGAGAAGACTCCCTGGAAAAGACCCTGATGTTGGGAAAGATGGAGGGCACAAGGAGAAGGGGACGACAGAGGACGAGATGGTTGGACAGTGTTCTCAAAGCTGCCAGCATGAGTGTGACCAAACTGCGGGAGGCAGTGGAAGACAGGAGTGCCTGGCGTGCTCTGATCCAGGAGGTCACGAAGAGTCGGACATGACTAAACGACTAAACAATAACAACAATTTGGACCCATCTGCAACTATTTTTACTCCGACGGCTGACATTTTCAGCACTTGGATGATACCAAGCTGAAACAGCAACTGAATATCAAAAATAATCAACTGGAGATGTTCAGGTGCTGCTGCTGCTATATTGCTGCTTCAGTCTAAACAAGGCAATCGACCCCATAATGTTTTCACTGTTACCTGTGAGCGTTCCATCAGCCATCAGGTCTTGCACTCTGTTAATTGCATCCTGTTGAGGAAAAACAAACCCCGTAAGCAGCAAATATCACACTTCCAGGTGCAGAGGCATGTTTTCAGACAACACCACGACACACCAGCCTTTCCACAAAGGTCTGGCAAGTGTCTGCTTCAGGGGACATTTCTCTTACACGTCAGCATACATTAAAAGCGAAGAGGGAATGCCTATATATTTATTTATTTCGATCAATAACAAGTTGAGAAGGTAGGAAGAAAGGAAAATACATAAAACACAGTATGATACATT